CCCGATTTCGGCGACTTTGATTTCACCGACTTCAAACTCCGCTGCGAATTGAGCCGATTTCGCAGCTTGCCGGACCTGACATCATCATAGCCGACCTACTTTACCATCACCGAATTCAAAGCGTTAGCCGAACTAGAATTTCAGATCGAACAATCCCGTCGCCGGATCTTCGAAATTGCAGTCGGGCCAAATTTGATTTTCAAGCCTCGGTGACCAATCAGAAGTCAATTTTATCATCATTAAACCAACCTCACGATAACTGATCTCAACGCCATGGCCCGACTTCATCAAATTCCATTTTTGTCGCCGATTTCGCGTGAGAGAATCACGATGTAAAGAAGAATGCACAGACCGAAAAAATACTCGATCCAATTAATAATGATGATTTCCAATTTTTATCTTATTGGGCATCATTCTAAATTAGCCCAACAACACAAAACAAAAGGAAAAGAAGCTGGAAGTGTATGTCGGTCTTGAACTGGCGACCAACTTAGATCGATTAGCGGGGCTCACCCGAGTTCAACCTGACGTCACCAAGCCCGACCCTTCAGTTGTTAATTTATTATTCAATCACCCCCGACCTCACCTACCTTTGTCGGGGCCCAACTTTGCAATCAGAGAAGCAAGTTCCGACCTCACTTATCTATGATGGGGTCGGGTCCACTTATCAATGCTGGGGTCGGGTACGTACACACTGTCAATTTATCATTCGCTCGTCTCTGAATGCACTCACCTACGACGATGCCAACTTTATTTATCAACGTTGGGACTGAATCTCTCTATGCTGGAGCTGAAATAATCTATCTACGCTGGGGGCCGAGCCCACTCACTTGAACTGACGAGAGCTGGGGCTGGGGCCGAAATTATTTAGTCAAATTGACGAACGCCTGGGCCAAAGTCGTTTATCAATGTCGGGGTCGAGTTTGCTTACCTGCGACGAAGCTGCATTCAATTGTCAATGCCGGGGTCGAACTTCTCTGTTTCTGAAATCGAGCCCAGAAATAAAGCCGAACTAATCTCTTTATTACGCACATCACAGTCAGACCGAGCGGCAGCACACCAGTGTGTTTGTCTCCAATCTTAACCCGGGGCCAATATCAAGCCGACGCTGACAACATCAAACCGTCACCAAACTCGCAAAACTGACGGTACAACCTTACTTCAGCCAATCGTTAGACTGGCATGCTCATTACCGACTATGCATTACCGACTGTACTATCCGCCAATGAATTCAGTTCTTTCTTCCACGACGACTCATAATTTACTAGCAGACGAGCCCAGTCTCACCGGACCAATTCATCGTTCGCTCACCGGGGCTGAATCCATTTATCAACGTCAGAGCCGAATTAATTTATCGACACCGGGGCCGGATTAATTTATTTACGCCAGCGTCGAAGCCACTTATCTATTTGCGACGGCCTACTCATTCACGACATGCCCGTCAGCCAATTTCCGACGTCCATATCTTGCTCACCGTTAAGCCTCGACTCCGGCTAAGAGCGACATCTACATTTTCTCGCCGTAGAGCTTCGACTCCGGCTGAGCGACGTCTACATTTTCTCGACGTAGAGCTTCGACTCCGGCTAAGAGCGACGTCTACATTTTCTCGCCGTAGAGCTTCGACTCTGGCTGAGCGACGTCTACATTTTCTCGCCGTAGAGCTTCGACTCCGGTTGAGCCAACGTTCTGTAAAATGGGGTCTAAAGTGCCCCAAGTCGGTTTTTAAACTGGCGTTCTGAAAAAAGGGGCCCAAAGTGCCCCAAGTCGATTTTCTAAACTGGAGTTCTGAAAAAAGGGGCCCAAAGTGCCCCAAGTCGATTTCTAAACTGGCATTCTGAAAAAAGGGGCCCAAAGTGCCCCAAGTCGGTTTTCTAAACTGGCGTTCTGAAAAAAGGGGCCCAAAGTGCCCCAAGCCGGTTTCTAAACTGGCTTTCTGAAAAAAGGGGCCCAAAGTGCCCCAAGTCGGTTTTCTAAACTGGCGCTCTGAAAAAAGGGGCCCAAAGTGCCCCAAGTCGGTTTCTAAACTGGCGTTATGAAAATTGGCCCTCAGTGCCTTAAGTCGGATAAAAAAACCAATTAAAAATTAAAGTAAATTAAAATTAACCAAACCTCCATAATGGTTTTGGTCGGCCGAAATGCCCTAAACCTAAAAAGGCCAAATAGAGCCAACCATAAAAAATGCATAGAAAAAGAGTCGTTGCAAAATCATTGCATAAATCACGAAAAACACTCGCAAAGGCCCGAGTGCCCTACGTATCGATCAACAGAACCGTTACGACTCTTATCCGAAATTTGACTCTTTCAACGAGCATTATATCAAATACCGGGTACCAAATTACCCGATTAGGCCTCTCAGGCCCCCATTCCATATTAATTCCAAAAAATTGTCCATTTCATCGACTTAGCTCATCAAAGAGCATAAAGCGCGAATGACATGCCAAACGTCAGGCCATAGCCTGAAAATGATCAACAAAACGTCCACGGTCCCAAAATACCCGGCCAACATCAAAGCGTCATTTATCGCAGCCCAAATTCATTTTACGTATGACTTCAGAACAGTTCTATTTAGAACATGTCCTAAAGTCAGGGGCCTCTATGTTGACATCAAATTTTGGCCTCGCCTATTAAAATATTACACGTGGATATATGTATTAAATATATATAAATATAGCAGGTTCAGTGCGCCGATTATTTAAATATCGATTGAGTTCCCAAGTACCCAGATGATCCACGTTCTAGCCGAGCAGAATTAAAATCATCCGCTGACCCGAATATCGAGAAGGTCCGTTTCCAACTGACACAATAATTTCCGATAAAGTATACATCAATCGAAGCCGTCAAATGTCATGATCGGGCCCCACGGTGTCATCTCACATTAAATATTAATGTTCCCTATTTACCTATTTTTTAATAGGCCCACTTGGCCCACTTGTAAGCCCACTTGTAGGAAAAGGGGGATGTATATGTATAGGGAAAGAGGAGGATTGATGGACGATGGATTCATCTTCTTTTTCATTCATCTTCTTAAAACAGCAATAATACAAAAAAGCTCTTGAATTTTCCATCTTCAATATACATATAATCGATCGAACACCGATTATTCACGGAATATGGGTGTTCATTTTAGTTGATCAAATCCGTTTATCAACACTATACACATTATGCCTTATTCTTTATAATCGCATGATATTATAGTTGAGGTATGCATGTGAGTATTTGCGTGAGCGTAGGCATCTGTTAGATCTCTCGTCGTTGGCTGAGGAGCATCCCATGTATCCAAAAGTAAAAAGTGTGTACACATGAGATAGTCATCCGTCGTCGGCTGGGGAGCGTCCCATGTATCTGACGGATGATTTCATAGAAGACGGATGAGACAAATGATATAGTCGTCTGTCGTCGATTGGGTAGCGTCCCATGTATCCGACAAATAATTTCAGATGAGACATTGTTATCAATATTCATGCTAATATTATGGCTCCGTTGAAGCCTACCTTTGAGCCAGATCTATCCGTTGCTTGTTATATGTTATTATACTAAATAATTGCATAGTATATTCCCACGGTGAGCCTGTGTTTGCTCACCCCCACTATTTCCCACCTTTCAGGTTAAGCAGCTGGCGGCGGACACAAAAGGGTGAGGGTGGTCCTTTTACATTATTTATATATATGCTTCTGCAGACATTTTAGACTTAATGTTTATTTTGGATTATTGAGATTGAGACTGTGATATTTTTGAGACTTTCTTTAATCCAATTTTTATTATGTCTCAAATAATTAAGAAGCTAAGATAGCTATTTGGGAAGAGAGTCCTATAAAAACTTAAGTGAGAGACTTAAATTAATTATTAAATAAAAGAAGAGCAGTTCCAGTAAGTTTAAAAAAGAAAGAGATTTTTAAGTAGTGCCCGAGAAATATTTTAAAGAAAAATATTTTAAAAGTTCAAATTTTCTAAAACCTTAGTATTTTCTAAATAAAGGTAAACTGGCGTTACAACGACTACCATGAGACTGAAGAAATTGGTAGTCTGCATTGTATCTGATTTAACATATGTTGAAGTCGCTTGATTTTCTTTGGTTTCCATCTTTCAAACTCACAATATTTCATCTTAAGACTGTTGTTTTTGGTGTCTGTGAGTATTAAGAAAATGGCTTACAAAAAACGAACGAAAGAAACAAAATCGATGCACGTAAATATACCCTCTCATTTATATGAAATATCCTTGTAAATTACCCATGTTTTACTTCTAACACCATGAAGACACAATAATTTTCTAGTTGTGTATAATGCTAATACAAACACTCGAGCCTTTGACGAGCACTACTCGTGTTTGAAACTCTAAAAAATCAAATGAACACAAGATGATATATGAACTTTGTGAAAATAATGCAGAGTAAAAAATGAATTCATGGGGGTAGTTATAGATGTTGAGGAATATTAGAAGGGGGTTTTAGTATCTAAAGGCACCTAATAAGTATCAACAGGTGCGTCCAAGTTGCAGGCTCGTCGCGCCCTTGACACAGTTTCGCACCGAACATATCGCCAAATTCCTGCTTGTCACCGCAGACGCAACAAACCCAACTTCCCACATGTGGTAGTTGTCGCGCATCATGAGTCGTGACAGACCCATTCATCGCACTTAATGTCTACATTTACAAACTTGTTATTTTTTCTTTATTCTAACCAACTTTAAAGCAATTTAAATTTAATCTTGAGTAACAAAAACTTAACTTCACTACATTTCTAACTTTAGATTTATTTTTTCATTCTAACTAAAAAAAACTTATGTAAATTAATTAAATATAATAAAAATGTCATGCTCTACTACAACTCTCTCACTCAAAAAGAACTTATTCGGCAAATCCAAAGCTACTTGCATAGCTTTTCCTAAC